TGTTTCCCCGTCGTGTTATCCGACATCCATTACCCTCCTCCTTTTTGTTTTCCCCCAGTCAGTCAGTCAGTCAGATATGAGGCTGTAATTTAGTAGCCTGTACAAGATGGGGCAGAGATAGAGGTATGCAGCATATAATCTGCGTGCACAAGAGGGAGGGAGATCAACAGCACTGTGCCGCAATCAACTCAAACAGTTCCCCTGGTCTTCCTGCTCCTCCCGCTGCTGCTGTTCGTCCTCGTCCTCATTTGTCCTCCTCTTCTTCCTCCTCTTCCTCCTCCTTTTCCTCCTGCGCATCCTCCTGCGCATCCTCCTGCTCTGCTCATCCTCCTGCCTATTATCCTGCACGTCCTTCTTCCTCCTCTTTCCTCCTTCCTCCTCCTCCTGCTTATCCTCCTGTTGATCCTCCTGCTTTTTCTCCTGCTTATCCTCCTGCTCAACCGCCACCTCTTCCAGTGTACGCAGCGCCCCCTTTTCTTCCGATTGCGCATAACACGATGGGGACTTTTTGGGGTCTCGGGTCCGCTATGACACTCGTCGGCAGATAGAGGAACTAGTTGCGTAATAAGAATGGATGGGTGGGAGGGATCGGATGTCAGACATGGCGCGAGCGCACCTAGCTTGATATGAAGTGACTTCTCTGGACTTAGCCTCCGATTTCCGCCGATCCGATTCATGTCGGTCGCCTACCCGACTTATCGATTCGATTCTTGGCTCTCCGGGGGTCTTGGGAGGTTCTTGGAGGTCTCTGGAGGTCTCTGGAGGCACACAGAGGCCCAGAAACCGTCAAACTTCTCGATATTCCATCGTTCTTGACACGCCTCGTCGTCGTCGTGGGTCGTCGTCGTCCGTCGCCCTCATGCCGGTCGTCGTCGGTGCCGTCGTCGTCGCTTCCACCGATGCCGCCGCCGCCGCCGTCGTCGTCGTCGCCGCCGCCGTCGCCGTCGTCGTCGTTGCCGCCGTCGTCATCGCCGCCGGCGCCGCCGCCACCGTCGTCGTCGTCGTCGTCGACGTCGTCGTCGACGTCGTCGTCGTCTGGCCAAGATCCGTTCGAAATCCGTCCCTGGTCCCCGGCGAGGGGCCTGCCTGGGCCGAAGCTTCCCGAGCCGCGCCCAGCCGCGTCGTGGCGAGCGCCTCCAGCATCGCTCGAGTCCGGGGTTCATTGAGGGGGGATTATCCCAATGATGGATTAGAGAACATACAGAGGTGATCTGTTTTTCCTCCCCAGGGTCACGCTCGTTAGCCAGGCCAAGACCGCCCCCCCCCCCCGGGTAACGCTAACGATTGTAACTGGTTGGCTTGGACCCGCCCCCCACACGCTTTGGTGCACACAGGCGATTGATGCGCCGGTGGCGCGGACGCACCTTAGCGGGTGCACGCCGCGGCCTCCCGCCCGACCCCCCCTCCTTCCCCGGGGCCTCCCAGATGGGGTCGGCGCAGATGGGCTCGCAAGATCGCACCGCATCACGGATGTATCGGCGATGCGGTTCGATGTGAAGCCCGATTTGCTTCACGTCGACGTCGCCGATGCATCGCCGTCGTCGACGATGCATCGCTTGTGCATCGCCGATGCATCGCCGATGTATCGGCGATGTATCGGCGCAGCGGCGCGATCCTCCGACCCCATCTACGCCGACCCTTCCTGGGAGGCCTTTGTATCTCAAGGTTCGGCTAGAGAGAATACGCAGATGGATACTCACAGGTCCCTTTTTTCACGGGCGTGTTTGCGCGATGTTCCTCTAACCCCACCTCTGCCACTACCCCACCTGCACGTTTCCCCGATTGAAAGGCGTCCGAAACCAAGCCGTTGTCGTCGCCGTCGTCGTCCTCGTCGTCGTCCTTGTGCTCCTCCTGTCGCAGATGGCATCAGACCCGAAGACAGAGCTGCCCACATCCTCACCCTCATCCTTCTTGTCGCCGCCCCCGCCGTCGTCGCCAGCCTCGTCCTCCTCGCCAGCCTCGTTGCTTCTGCCCCTCAGTGGCCGATGCGTTTTTTTCGAGCCGCCGTTCAAAACAGTAGCAGCAGCACCACCAGCAGCTCCAGTAGCAGCAGCGACTCGTAGATTGGACGATGACCTTCTTCTTGGCATCCCTCGGTCGCGTGCATGCATTCTGCCTCATCCTGCGAACCGTCAAACGCGCGAAACCGAAACATGCACGAGGAATGGACGTCCGAGCGACGGCGAGTCTTGGGCACGCTCCACCTCATCGCCCGCCCCTCGGGGGGCAACGCACATGTAGTACAAGTAGGTTGGGGTGACGCCGATATCGTCTGGATGTGGAGAGCGGAGAGGATGTGGGGGTAAGGCGATGAGGGGAGGGGAGGCGGAGGGGCAGGAAGGAGGGGGGGAAAGGTGAGGGAAGGAGAGGGGGAAGAGAGATCGAAGCCTCGTCGCTTCTGCACCCACGCCCGCCCCCTCCCCCCCCCCATGCCCGCGAGGCGGGGCAGCGCGGGCCGCACGAGCCGCCCGGCGGGGCCCCGCCGCCGCAATCCCAGCAGGCGGCCTCTGGGGGGCGGGGGGGGGGTCGCGGGGAGGAGGGAGCGAGGGAACGGAGCAGGGATGGGGGGAGAGGGAGGGCGAGGCGGAGGAGGAGGAGGAGGAGGAGGAGGAGGAGGAGGAGGAGGAGAGGAGAGGGAGGGAGGGAGGGGGAGGGAGGGGGAGGGAGGGAGGGAGGGAGGGAGGGAGGGAGGGAGGGAGGGAGGAGGAGGGGAGGAGGACGAGGAGGAGGAGGAGGAGGAGGAGGAGGAGGAGGAGGGGAGGAGGGAGGAGGAGGGAGGGGGGAGGAGGGAGGAGGGAGGAGGGAGGAGGGAGGTGGGAGGAGGGAGGAGTAGGAGGAGGAGGAGGAGGAGGAGGAGGAGGAAAGAGGAGGGAAGAGGAGGAGCAGGAGGTAGGGAGGGAGCACGAGGAGGCTTGCGGCTTGCGGCTTGCGGTAGACACTCCAGCCCTTAGGCCGCGTTCGAACCCCGGCGGCATCTACGTTTACATCTGAGTCAGCGCCCCGCCGGCCTCGTCGTAAAGCTTGGAAGGACTCATGGTCGATCTAGGTGCGAGGATGACGAGATGGAGGAGGAGGAGGAGGAGAAGGAGGAGGAGGAGGAGGAGGAGGAGGAGACGGACAGGGGGAAGAGGAGGCGGACGGATGGGAGGAGAGAGCAGGGAAGGAGGAGGGGAAGGCCTCCTCCACCCCTCCCTCCCCTCGACCAGGGCTACTCCAGCTTCCCCCGCTCCGCCGAAAACGAGGTCGTCCGTGTGTTCGTCCACCACCCAATCCTCCGCCCGGCAGGGAGTCCGCGCACTGACTGTCATGGTGGCGACCCGAAAGGCGGGGGTCCTGCGCACGTGGCCGACGCTCGGCTTGTGCTCATATCCGGGCGTTTCCAGGCTTATGTTGCCACAGCACACATCCATGTCATCACACCGGGGGTCCACGCTTGAGCGCGTGGCGCGCAGGGGAACCGAGTCCGTGGCAGCATTCTTTGATGGGCCGCTCGCTGCACTGTCGTCCGAGCCCGCGGCTCCCACGCTGAAGACTTCTTGGTGCCGCGCGTGTTCCGGCTGAGAGCTTGCAACTCTTACGTTGATGGAGCCTTGCCTGTGTTCAAGTGTGCTTCTTGTCTGGGACATCTCCAATACATACACCACTGCGAGCGCAACATCGTACAACTGCTACGAGGGTGGAAGGAGGTTGGCTCCTTTTCAAAGGAGGGTTCTCGTTTGAGAGATCGGGAAGCTTAAACACAGAGGGCGGCTCCTTTTCAACATGCGGATCCCGCATGATACCCCCAAAACCAGAAAGCCTCGCACCAGAAGTTTAGGCATGCGCTTCGTTTCCATGGCTGGGGGACGGCTCTGTTTAAAGACGAAGTGTTTGTTGGACACCTGCTCGGATTGCATGTGTCTACCTTGTCGCCAGTTTTTACTGTTCGCTAGATGGATGCAGGGCCGTTTTTTTGTGAAGGGTGGTGTTCGGCTGAATGGCAGGCCTATGTGGTGTTCGTCTTTCCAGGGGCGCTTCTTGTACTGAAACAGGGAGGCTCGGAGGGACTCGTGAAGAGGGAGTTTGGGACGGGAAGATGTGTTGTAGTATCGTTGGCACATGTTGGGTTCATTACTGTGTCTTCCTCCTCCTCCTGCTCCTCCTCCTGCTCCTTCTCCTCCTCCGCACCCTCCTCCGTAGTCATCACAGGCACGGCTACACCCGTCATCGAGCGCGATGCTCTCCAGGAACATGACCCATGGCGCGACAACTCCGAGATGCAGCAGATGGAACGACCTCTACGTGAAGCCCTGCGGGTCGACAGCCGCAATCCAGAATGCAGCCAGCAGTGTAGCAGCAGCAGCAGCAGCAGCAGCATTGGCATCGTCGCATCTCGAGTCTATCGCTTGTTGGTTTGAGGTGTTCTTTCTTGGTGAGCAGGCGCGGGCACACAGGCGGCTCGCTGTCAACGCACGGGAATTGCACGAAGTACGACAACTGCAGGACATTGCTGCGGCAGCCCAAGCCACCACACGCAGTGAGGTGGACCAAGATCGTGTTCAGTTAGGTGGCTACAGCGGAGGCTCCACGGCCCTTCGACGTGAAGGCCTCGGCGAACTGGGATAGGGCTGTGGACCCGCTCATCTACTCGGTTGGCATCGTCGCGCTTGCTGCTCCGAACCGAATGCTGTTCGTGATGGTCTGTCAGTTTGGATAGCTGGCGCCAAGCTCCAGCCCCAACACATCGAGTTTGTTGGTGACATCGTGGCCAGGCGATTCACCACCAGCGTGCTTGGCAACGAACCCGAGGCCAACAACGGAGCTTCTGCGTTGGTGCGGTTCTTGCGAACTTCTACTGGATGGTGCTCATGTGCAGCATTCTCCACAGAGAGCGCAGTGTGTCCGATGTACAGCGTCCCTGCTGACACACGTCCCAGGATGGTGCGCGGCGAGGTGCAAGCTAGTAAAAAGCGCAAGCTACTGGAGGACACTTGCTCTGACAAACTTGGCGTCGCCGGGGAGCTCAGTGCCAGATACTCGCAGGTACTGCTCTACTCTGCAAGCTCGAGCCTCAAGGCCAATATGAACCCACTCGCATCCGTTGGAACGTGGACGCCATTGCTGAATTCAACATCGACTGCGATGCGATCGAAGCAGCTATCTCAGCGGCCGTTCTGGGCAGTTAAGGACAGTGGTTTTGCTAACACATGTTGGGCTCCATGGGGGCCTGATAGCAGAGATGTCTGTCGCCTTTGGGCTTCCTGCGATAATATTGAATGCTCGAGGTCTGCTGTGCCTCATCACACGCAAACGTGAAGCCAACACCCAGGTGTTTAATGAATACATGCGTCAGAGATTAAAATAGCATGGCAAGAAGCTTGTGGTGACCTACGCCGTTTGCGAATGCTCACCAATGCTGCGCCATGCGCCTGCGAGTGCTTCCTGCCTGTCGCGGATGCATCCGCTGTTGGAGTTGCATTCCTTGTCTTTGGACGGTCGCAACAGTCTCCTGCTTTTCCAGAGCTGGGTCCAGAGTGCGACCTGCGCGCGATCATTGCTGGCCGTGCGGCCGCTCTCTTAATGCCCCCCTGCTCATGAACACAGCGTGCGTCTTCCCGGCGCGCGGAATCACATGCTGCCAGCAGTCGAGTTTGATGATATTGAGGGCTTCTGGACCCAACAAGCTTTGCACGCGCAGCAGCGCGAACGCGCGTTCATGTTCCTTGCCCTCGGTGACTTCAACGTTCTGAGAGCCCACCCCGCTGATTCCGCGTCCCCGCGCAGTCCTCGTCTCGTCGCGCCCCTCCCGCCTCACTGTCCACATTTAATAATCGAGGGCAGCGCGTGCAGGTTCGGTGGATACTCGCGCGCTTCGTTTGCGCGCTGAACTCGCGTGCGATTTCCCCGCGCGGCCCGACTCTCACCGACTGCGGGTTTCCTGCATTGATCGCATCTTCCTGTCTGGCAGCGGCCCGCAGCTGGCGTTGCTAGGTGTCGCGTTGCAGATCGCTCGCGAACGCGCTCGGCCGCCCCATCGAGGCTTGTCGGACCACGCCATGCCCGTGCTCAAAATCCGACCCTCCGCCCCGAAAGAACAACGGGAGCGCGGTAGCCCACCGCATTTGTCCAAGACCGCCAAGTGCCGATCGTCGTTTGCTGCGACGCTCCAACGCGCAGACTTTGATCGCCGGTCAGCGACTGCGGAGTCGCATGGGGTAGAGGACCGCGCGCGCGAGGCAGCGGCGCTCACTGGCGATCGTCAGCAGAGCCCCGGCTGCGTTCAGCCCGCGCGCCCCGGCGCCCCCACCTCGCGCGTGCATCTGCACAGGTCCACGGCGCGCGCGCTGCGACGCGATGACATTCGCGCTGCTGCGCTGAGCTGCTGCCCCCACCCTCGCCTCCCCCCACTTGGTCGTCGGCGATGGCGTCGTCTCTCTCCCCGGCCCCCTTGCTTTCCTCGCCCAATGCGACGCTGCCAGTGATGACTGGCACCAGCGGCGCGCGCTGCAAGCCAGCGCGAACGCATCCCAGTTTGACGAATTCGGCCGGCACAAAGCCGAGATGCACCGGTGCGAGCTTGGGCGCAAGGCAGCACGGCGCGCTTGGCCGTGGACCCCTGCGCGAGACATCTCTGTTAGGAAGGGGCGCGAGTGCGCATTCACTCTGGCCCGGAAGTGAGCGAGCGAGCGCGCGCGAATGATGGGGTCACTTATGACGCGGCGCAGTCTCACTGGATGCAATTTCTTTCAGCGAGAATGCCATCGGGCCCCGCCATTTGCAGCTTCCTTTCGTCGATCCCCCCCCCCTGCTCCCACTTTCGACGCGCCGACGCCGAGTGAAGCAGCGCTGGCCCGCGCGCTTCAGCGTGCGGAGCCAAGCGCCCCAGGCCCCGACCGCCCCCCGCGCCCCGCTTAACCCCGCCCTCTTGCTGCCACCACTTTGCGTCGCGCGTTCAAGCGCAATTACTCTGGCGGATCTCTTTCCCGCGAGGCCGACCATGCGCCGTTTGCTCTTCCCCTCAAGGGCGATGAACAGTCGGGCGAGGTTCGACTAACTCGTCGGCGCTAGGACATGCGGCCCTCGAGTTGCAAAACGGCGATGCGAAGGCAATCCGCCCGGCGACCCACTTCGCGTTGGAACCCATGGTTTCGCTGTCTCAGAGCGGGCGGGGGCGTGCCAGCAAGGGCGCATCGCTGGCGAAGTACTTTTGCTGGGCGCAGCAGCGAGCCGCGATGGATGGCCGGATGACGGCCCGAGCAGACGTCCGCCCCTCATCCTGCTCGACTTAAAGCGGCTTTCCCCAGTCTGTCCCGACGGTGACCCGAATTTGCATTGGAGTACTACGGGGTCCCGCTCTGAGCTCGCTGGGCCATCGGCGCATTGCGCAATTCCCCGATTGCCATCGTCATGCTCAGAGATTTGCCCCTGGCCCCCGTGCGCGAGCTCGCCTGTGGAGTCCTCCGGGGGTGCCCCCTCGCGGGAAGCCTATTTGCATGGGCCCTCTGCCGGGTCGTCTCCAGA